GAGGGGGGATTCCAATGTGGGGATATACAATATGTTTTGCTTTGCACGTGCCACATTGCCCTTCCCCTCCATGGAAGGAATGCGCCAGAATACCATCACCCTTATCTGGAAGACAGTTTGCACCTGGAGCCAGAGGGAACAAAACTGAGAGAGACCTTGAAGAGCACGCCAAAGGAGCCAGCTACTATAACAATATACCACCTGTGGATTGGCTGAAATTCAAATGGACAGTGGGACCCTTGGGGGAGGAGTAACGAATACTGCTTTTATATATTGCTTGCATGGGCTAATTCCTAAGACTTCGCTTTGATTCCTGGCTATCATTAACTCCTAATAAAATTTCCTTTTGAGACAATACCTGGTTCAAGAGTTCTGCTTTCTTGGGAGACCTAGTTGAGGCAGGTCCTTTTACTTGAAGTATTCTACATAGTTCTGGAGATAAGTTTGATTGCTCCTCATAACTACCTACTGAATGTGCCCTGTCAGGAAGTAGTGGAAAGCAAAATGGTACTTTTTCTGTCTACCAATGCAAGCTACTCAGAAGGATATCATAGTTGATAGTGTCCAAGATGGCTTCTCTTCTCAGTGGTCATCCCCAGAGGAATAAATGCCATTTCAGTCCTATGTATAAGTTTTGTCTTATTCCGGATTCTCTTTTATCCTCATGGTACATAATAGAATGTGTGGATAAGAAGAGATGCTGCCTAAAAACAATCAGACAAGACAGGCAGGAACGCTGCTCATAGAAAGAAACTTAGGAAGGGCTCACCCTAACGGATCAAATGTAAAACAGGTGAAAAATTTGTGTTTTTTGACTTGCAATATTTAACATTTTGTTATCTAGCATCAAGGATTGGCAGGGGTGCCATAGGAAGATTTAAGATTTAATTTGTTTGCATTATTACTGTATATGCTTATAATATTTATGCTTATTTTTTACTCCTTTTCCCTTTTCTGATCCAGTTGCTGACTAATAATTAAAGTGACTTTTAATCACAGTGATAGTGAACCAATCAACTTAGCTCCATATTTCTACTTACTGACTAGATCTGAACATATAAAGGCAACTAGTTTCATCTCAATAAATCTAAATGATCATTTATTCATTCATCTGATTTATGTCCTATCTTTCATTTAGGAATACCACAAAACAGTCATAATCTTTTTATATTTATAATTGTTGATATTTGTACATTTTATCTTACTATAAGCTGCTCTGAATCACCTTGAACCAAAAGATGAGAGGCAGATAAAATTAATAATAATTCCTAATGCTCCCATAGATCTTTCCTCATAAAAACTTGGTGAGTTGGGCTGAAATGAGAAAGAATTATTGGCTGAGTTTCTATGGCTAAGGCTGAACTAGAACCTGAGTCTCCCCCTTATCAGTCAAAAACTTTATTTATTTCACCACACTAGTATCTATTAAAGACCTCTTAAATAATGATGAGATCATGTCTATTGATTTTGAGATCACATCTATTGATTTATTTACTTTTTAATATACCATCAACTTCCAAATTAATGAGTCAAAATAGATAGAACAATGATTGTCAAGGTTCTGACTAATGAAACACTTCAAAGAACTTCCAGGCATTGTTTATCCTAAAAAGCCTTTATTACAGTGTAACAGAGTGCCGGCACAGCATGGGTGGATGCCAAGATCTGAAATCTCCACCCCAGAGCAGTTATTTTGCTAGTATTTTCCCTCCCTCTTTTGCTGTCATAATTCACGTTGTCCAACCAGCCTGGGGGGCAAAGGTTCATTTCTTTCTGAAGCCCGTGTAATTACTCTCTCACATTCTTTCTTTCCCCTCCCAGCATCATCTGAATTAACTCTGAAAGTACCAGACAGTTCTTCATATTTTGTCAAAGCAAGAATATTCAATATTAGCAGCATTGACATCTAGCCCCCCCCCCTTGCAAAAAAGGATAGCTCCTGTATATGAACAAAAGCATATGTCAGGGACTATCTCTTGGTTTGCTGCGGTTTATCTCATGAAACTTTTTGATGAGTCGGTCAGCCTTCATATCACTAGATTTTACCCAAGTAGCTTTGGACAGCAAGTACCTCTTCCATTGTACTAGGTACTGAAATTTCCCTTTAAAAATTCTAGAGTCAAGAATACATTTCACTTCATAGTGAGTCTGACCCACTACTATGAGGGGCCCAGGTGCCTTCTTAGGGGGAGGCCTTAAGGTGGAGCCCTGACAAGGTTTTAACAAGCTGCAATGGAAGATAGGGTGAATCCTCCCTAAAATCCTAGGGAGTTTCAATTCTACTGTGATGGAGTTGATGATCCTTACAATGGAGAAAGGTCCCAAGAATTTTGGTCCCAATTTCTTAATGGGCAATTTGAGGTGTAAATATTTAGTTGACAAATAAACCTTTTCCCCAACTTGGAATGTTCTTTGGGGAGCCCTCTTTTTATCAGCCTGCTTTTTATAGGTTTCAAAAGTCTTTTTAAAGCAGTTTTTGTGTTTCTCCAAACTTCTTCCCATCCCCTCACCCATTGGTCAAGTGTCTGGTTAGCAGAGGGCACCTGGGTATTCAGGTATTAAGCTGAACTCTTTTCCTGTGGCCACTCTGAAAGGCGTGTAGCTGGTGCTGCTGTGCACAGAATTATTGTATGCCACCTCTGTGAAAGGGAGGAGGTCAGTCCAGTTTGTCTGTTGGTAGGAAACATAGCATCTAAAATATTGTTCCACCATTTTGTTAGCGGATTTTACAGCCCCATTGGTGGCCAGATGAAAAGCAGATGATAAGCCTTGAGATGATCCAATTAATTTAAGAAAACTCCTCCAAAACTTTGCTGTGAACTGCACCCCCCCGTCTGAAATTATTCCCTTAGGGGCACCATGCAGCCAGTAAATATGTTTCAGGAACAATTTGGTCAGTCATTGGGCAGATGGGAGTCCTTTGCAGGCAATGAAATGAGCCTGTTTTGAGAACAGGTCTATCAAAGTCCATATGACAGTATTTCCTCTACTTTCAGGTAGGTCTACTATAAAGTCTATAGCTATTTCTTCCCATGTTTGAGAAGGGTCTGCCACCGGCTGCAGTAACCCAGGGGTTTTCCCTGGGATTCTTTTCATTGTGGCACATAAAATACAACCTTTTACATAGTTTTCCACATCCCGTTTCAGCCCCGGCCACCAAAATTGCCAGCGGGTGAGGTGGAGAGTTTCTACATATTCAAAGTGTCCAGCCTGTTTTACATCATGGCTGTGTTTGAGAGCATTAAGACGGAGGGCTTCAGGCAGATATAGTTTCTCCCTTTGTAGGCCAAGCTATCCCTGCATGTTAGGGAGGTTTGATTATCTTTGAACGATTGATTGTTGAGGAGCTCTTGTTTTATTTTCTTTATCCCAGGGTCATCAGGATTAGGGACTCTGCAAGGCATGAGTTGAGTGGCAGTTTGTGGACTGGAGATAATTGCCTCATTAACCTCTTTGCATTCGCTTTAGTACTGAGGCAATTTCGATAGTGCATCAGCTAGGAAGTTTTTTCCTCCTGGTATGTACTTTAGAGTGAAGTTGAAATGGTTAAAGCCTACCATACTTGCTTTGGGGAAAATTTGTGGGGAGTTTTCAGTGCCTCTAGTTTTTTATGATCTGTCCATACTTCAAAAGGTACCTTGCTCTCTTCTAGATAGTGTAGCCAGTTTAACAATGCCCGCCTAATTGTGAAGGCCTCTTTCTTCCAGATTGCCCATCTCCACTCGCTTTCAGTAAATTTTTTGGGGTGGCCTAAGGTGTCCTGTTGGTTGAAGCCCCCGTAATTACTCTCTCACATTCTTTCTTCCCCGTCCCAGTATCATCTGAATTAACTCTGAAAGTACCAGAGAGTTCTGCATATTTTGTCAAAGCAAGAATATTCAATAGTAGTAGCGTTGGCAATAATACTGAAATACTACAAAAATATTTAAATCCATCAAAGCATAGCATAAATTACTATAACATGACAAATCTTTTAAAAAATTGAAGACACAATTGAACTAAAGTGAACTGTTGTGATTTACTTTGATTTCAAAGTATTTGAAATTCAGTATTTCTGAAACTATTCTCATTGGAGTTAACAGGCCCTAGTGCCTATATAGATGAATCAGTCTCAATAAAATGTCAGAAGAAAAATAAGTTCTCTTGACTAGGACCTGCTAGCTGAGGTATTCTGACAATTGCAGGGTCCCAAGTGGAGGAAGGCTATATTTGGCCATTGCTAACAGAATTAGACCCAGTCAGAAGCTGAGATAGTGAGTTCTAATCCTGCCTTCAGCTGAAAGCCAGCTGGATGTCCTTAGACGCTATTTTTTCTAAGCCCTAGCAATAAGGCAAGTTGCTTCTAAAACTGAATGGATTTATTGCTGTAGTCACCAGGTGTTAGAACTGACTTGAAGAAAATGATTGCATGAATATTACCTCTTTGCAATGTCAAGAATAACAATTTATTATGTCATATCCAAAATTACAGTAAAATGTAAACTATATATCTATACTCTCAAGTTCAAATACAAAAAAGAAGGAGGAAGAGGAGGATGTGGATGTAAGCAATTTAGTCATCTTATTAAAAAATGGCATAAATGGTATAACATGGGTAGTCTGTGGATTATATAAAATTAGAATTTGGGGGTGGAAAAGACAGAAACAGCTCCAGAATCCAAATCAGTCCAAAAAAATATTTTCAAAGCAGCGAGTTATTGTTCCTTGCTGCTCTTAGCCTCCAAGGCTCACCAAAGATCAGCTGTAAATGCCACAATTCCTCAATATTGATTCAGGACACAATTCAGCCTGCACTGCTTCGAAAATAAACCAACTCATTTTAACATCTTTGTTTATTAATACGTATTGCTTGTCTGTCAGGTATTATTGAGAATGATAAAAAAAAATCAACCTAAGAATGAAAGGCATGATATCTTAATGAAATTGTAAACTATGCTGTATGAGTAATATGTATAATTTTATTTCCATATCTACAATAATGCAAGAAATAATGTACTCACTTGATCAGAAGTATAAGCTATCAGTCGACCAATGATTTCTCCCTGAGTCAGATTTTCATTGTCTAACTGAACATGATGGATTGCTTTGGTTCGAGCTGCCAGCAGGGCAACCAAGGTAGCTTCACTGGCAGTTCCCTATGATGGAAAATTGGACAAGTTGGACAAAATAATCCAATAAAAATTGTCCTAAATTAATAAGGAGTATCCACTGCATTGGTTTTGCTTATACAGTACAATTGATGGTATTGAGCATTATCTAAAATCAGATCATCGTGCTGATCTAATCAGGGTAAGAATTCCTTCTTCCTGATACAAATATATACAATACAGTATGTCATCCATGCTTAATTTAGATATCAAGAGGCTATAAATGCATTTAGGTGAAAGTGATCTTAGTCCAAAAAAAAAAAAAAAAAAAAAACAGCAAAGAGGCAGAGGCAATATTATACAGAGACCTTTTTTAAATTAAAGGCAGAATGCAGCTGATTTCACCTTTCTAAAACATTCTAAAATTAACAGGGTTTGCATTCTTAAATATGGATGGATGCACCTCTAATAAAATGACACAGTGAAAATAATCAGCTGAAGGCTCTGTTGAGAAACTTCGCTTTTAAAAATGACACAAATACTAAGCGCACAGTCGATTTCATTTTTCTGTATAAATAGAGGTTACTATGGTGAACAGACTCAAGATCCGGCATATTTATTGCTGAATAAAGTCCCCAGCAGACATTTTCTTTCATCTTTAATTGTTTTAAGTGGCGCATTTGAAATAGCAGGCAATGATTTCATATTGATTTGTCCTTTCAGCTGCAATTAAGCACCAATTTTTATAAATGAATAGTGCAAATATTCATTTGGTTTTAAATCTAGGAAAGATTGGCAGTTGAATATAAAACCCATGTTTCACATGTCCTTTCCTGTTTCTATCACTATTATTATGACTGTGCAAAAAGAAAACCATCTGCACAAATTGCTTCCTCTCTGGTAATAGCAGGAGAGGCCTTAAACCATTTCCTTCTGTCCTAAAGTTCAACAATAAAAACAGCATCCACAATTACTGGCAATCACGTGTTGTCACCAAAAATGAGTTAATAAACAGACATAAATGTCCTATGTCATCAGCACAAAACACACTATTGCAAGATTTTATAAATACATGGCACTATAATGTAAAGCTTGAGAAAAAAATTATTCGGGCTGAATATTTTGGCAAAAGATTCAAGGTCTGGCAAAGCTCATTATAACTTTGTTAAAATACAAAACTCTGAAACTTCAGCTGGCATGAAAAAGTACAAAAAAGCTCAAGCTTAGTTATCAAATTCACAAAGAAGGAATCTATAATGAGGTTGCTATTTTTCTACTGGGCACTATCCTCATAAGAATGTCACATTTGCATGCAATGAATTTGGTAACAATAAGTTCTAGGGCTCATCTACATATGCACAATACTTTAACTGAAACTTCAGAAGATAACTTGTATATGTGAATGGGAAATTAAAGAACAATCAGTCAGTTCATAGTTATCAAACATGCAGTAATCAGTCACAGAAAAATCAAATGTGTGCATTTATTCTCCAATGATCAATATAAACAAATCAAATAGAAATACTAAAATCAGAAACACTAAAATCAGAAACCATACCAGACCTAGAGGCAGAATTTGAAACTTGGTTTTATATATTTATCTGATTTCATTATTCATCAGTGTCTGAGTCTTGAGATGCGGTGGCATCTCATTCTGAAGATACAGGGATAGTCATAATTATGGCAGGACAATTTACACCTTACCAGATAATACACAGCCAGTTTGGTATAGAGATTAAGCATCAGTTTGAAACTGAGGATGTTGAGTTCTACTCTTGTCTTAGGCACAAAACCAGCTGGATGATCTTGGGCCAGTTACTTTCTTTCAGCTCTAAGAGGGAGCTGAAATATTGCCAAGAAGACTGCAGGGACTCCTCCAGGCAGACTCTGATAATCAGATATGATTAAACAGAAAAAAAATATCCTAATACAAACTTCCACAAATTCATTTTAAACAGTGGATACCGACCTACTTCCTTAATGATGATTTAGCAGGCTATTGAATTGAGTTGCTAAATTTAGAAGAATTTAAGAATTAAGTCATAACTTAACACAGAATTTTATCCCACTGATTTCAATAAACAGAAGTTTATTTAACACTGATTTCGTAGTGTAGAACTTATGGCCCCCCATATGTTGCCAAATTATACTTCTTGTCAATCAAGCCAGAATAACAACTGATGAGGGAACTTAAAAACCATGGCTCAGTCATAGTTCCCCCATTCCTAATTTACACACACTATGCAATCCAGAGAACTATATGAAATTAAGTTTTTAAGGATTTTATCCTTAAAATATACCTATTTATGCTCCCAGATATGTCTTTTATTTTCCTTTTCTACCTACTTTATTCCAATATCTATCTGACCTGGATGTCATTTCCCCTGAAAAGGCCTCTGGACTTACTGTATCTAAGCATTCCCTTTAATATTCTTTTAGATAATGGTTTTTTCATAACTGCAAAATTCCCCAGATATCTTTAGCTTTTTTCCACTTTGTGTAATGATTCTGTTTTGGACAGAATTCTGAAATATTCAGAGAACTGAATCAGAAATAGAAAAAAATGACAATATTATCTTTTAAAAGAAATAATATGACAATGTTTATAGTATAATGTTCTATCCATTTAAAATACAAATCAAATTCAGTAGCAAATATTCTAAATTACCTGGATTACCCCACCTCCTTCTCCATCCTTCCCAGCCAGAAATTGTGGAGGCAAATTGATCATTTTTCCTAGCCAATCCAGCATTACTGTTTCCAATTCGGTGCAAGCTGGGCTTGAAGCCTAGAATGGGAAAATATGGTAAAAAGGAAATAAAAGTGTTTAGTGGTTTCCTTTAGATACTTACACATTTCAGAAGATTTCACAGAATAGGTAAGCAATAAAGCATAGGAGCATTAAGTGTAACTCAGAATGTTACATAATTTGTGAGTGAAAAAAGATAATTAATGATCCATTTGAGTAACTGCTATGTATGACAGGTATATTAACTCATTCTCATACAATTTTAAACTATAGGCAAAAATGTCAAAATTTGAAATCATGCAGAGAGAGAGAGAGAGAGAGAGAGAGAGAGAGAGAGAGAGAGAAGGGGGGGGGAGAAATAAGTCTTTCTGAGTATACCAGAATTTCTCTGCTGGTAATTCTCTTTATATGATTACTATCAGGATTCAAAAAGGCAGTTAGAGAAGCTAGGTATAAAAAGAATACTGCTTTCAACATTCTGAGACTGAATTATCCTAATTGTTAAAGGACATATTCCCAGAATATTGCTTTTATCTGATCCGAAGTTGGCATGGAGGTAGCTTAATGTCAAATGTTCTGGTTTTCATCTTCTTTGATACAAATGTTTCTATAGAAAACTGTTTCCACTATAGACGTATTCTATAAGTGCTAGTCTAATTTAGAATCTACTGAGAGTTTCAGTTTTTTATTTTATGGAAATGAAACACTTTTGTACATGCAGTTATGTTAAACCCTATCTTTATAAAGGTAATCCTCAACTTCATTTAATGACTGTTCAAAGTTACAAGGGCACTGAAAAAAGTGACTTGTGACCATTTTTCACACTTATGACCATTGCAGCATTCCCATAGTCACATGATTTACATTTTTTTTATTAAAAAAGTTTTATAAAGAATTACACCCCAACCCCCCCCCCACACCCTAACCCTCTCCCTCTCCCCCACTTCCCAGAGCTGAATACAGGGTTATTATAAATATAATAATCAAACTTTAAATAACATTAACCAACTATAAAATAACCAAATTCATAGTATACTTTAACTCCCCTTTAACATAAATACAGACAAGTAAAATAAACATAATAATATAGACAATTCCATATTATTAAACAATATCTATACTAATACTAAAAAGAATAATAAAACTAATAATAATTTCACTATAATACACTGTTAATAAAAATAATACTTTAAAATTTACTCATAAAATAAATGGAACTTTTTAGTCCCATATTTATTCTGAATATAGTCTATCCATCTTCTCCTACTGAAATATACCTTTCTTGTGTATGATCCTTCAAATAAGCAGAAATTTTTGCCATTTCTTCTAGATTAGAAACCTTAAGCGTCCATTCTTCTATAGTAGGCAAGGAATCTTTCTACCAATAACCTTTCCACTGTTATTAAATTCAACATCAGGTTAGTTTCTTTAACACCAAGATCTATAATAACACCCAACAAAAATAATTGAGGAGTAAACTTTATCTTTCTTTTAAAAATCTTTTGAATGTTCCACCAAATCATAATCCAAAAAGCTTTTATATTTCTACAAGTCCACCAAATATGAAAATAAGTTGCATCTAAACCACCACATCTCCAACATTTAGGCTGTAGATTAGGATACATACAAGACAGCTTTTTAGGGTCCAAATGCCACCTATAAAACATTTTATAAAAATTTTCCCTTAAATTTTGAGCCTGTGTAAATTTTACATTTCTAACCCAAATTATCTCCCATGTATCCAACGGAATTGGTTTCTGAATATTTTGAGCCCATTTTATCATACAATCTTTAACTAAATCCGTTTCCGAATCCAATTCTATTAAAGCATTATAAATTCTCTTCATATGCGCTCAATTTTGATCTTTAATCTGTATTACCAAAATCTCATCCATTAAGGTAATACCAGCCTTTTGATCTATACTCCACCTAGCCACTAATTGATTATACTGAAACCAAGATTGTACAATATTTTCTTGCCTTAATTCAACGAAAGATTTTAATTGCCAATCGCTGCCTAATTGTCTAAGTAATTCTTTATAGGAAATTCTATCAAAATTCACACCCCTAGATATCCCCTCTATCGCATGTCCAGGAATCCCCCAAATTGGTATCTTATAATTTAGCCGATAATAATACTTCTTCCAGACATGGAGTAAAGCAGTTCTTAAAATATGCGACTTAAAGGCCTGATCTACTTTTTTATTATAAATTAGATATGCATGCAATCCATATAATAAATCCCACCCCTCAAGAGAAAGTATATTTTTATTTGTTAAGTTAACCCAATCATTAGTCATTGTTAGAGCAGCCGCATCATAATATAATTTCAAATTAGTCACTTTAAGTCCACCTCTTTCTCGAGCGTCGTAAAATCTTAAACTTGACCCTTGGTTTTTTCCCAGCCCATATAAATTTATTGATACCCTTCTGCCATTGATCCAAATTAGCATCTTTTTTCAAAATGGGTAACATTTGAAACAAGAAAAGAAACTTTGGTAGAACGTTCATTTTTACAGCTGAAATTCTCCCCAACAAAGATAATTGTACTTTTTTCCAATCATTTAAATCCTTTTGTATTTTAGCCCATAATATCTATAATTATTTTTATACAATTTTCCATTAGAAGCTGTTATATATACTCCCAAATATTTAACCTTTTTCACTATTTCAAAACCAGTAAGTTTAGCTAACATTTCCTTTTCCTTCATAGTCATATTTTTTGACAATATTTTAGTCTTATTATTATTTACCTTAAAACCAGGAACTTTCCCATAATGAGTTATAATTTCAACCAGATGACTGACCGATTGAATCGGTTGAGATATTGTCACAACCAAATCATCAGCAAAAGCTCTCAACCTATAATCATTCTTATTTATTTTTATTCCCTTTATTATAGTTGACTCACGAATCTGAATTAATAAAATTTCCATTGTTAAAACAAATAACAATAAAGATAATGGACATCCTTGTCTTGTACCCTTTTCAATTTTGAAAGCTTCTGTTAACCCCCCATTAATTATAATTTGTGCCAATTGTTGTTTATATATGGCTTTAAGAGCATATAAGAATTTATCCCCAAATTCATTTTATCTATAACTATCAGTAAAAATTGCCAATCTAATTGATCAAAAGCTTTCTCAGCATCCAAAAATATAAAAGCAGCCAAGATTTGATTATTCTTTTCCAGATACTCAATTAAATTAAGAATTTGTCTCACATTATATTTCATATATCTTCCAGTTATAAATCCAGACTGATCACTATGAATTAATTGCTTCATAACATGCATTAATCTATTTGCCAGTATTTTTGCAAAAATCTTATAATCTGTATTTAAAGGAGATATAGGTCTGTAATTCTTAGGCTGAGTAAGATCTTGATCCTCCTTTGGAATCAATGATATAAAAGTCATTCTCCAAGAGGGAGGTACCGGGGCTCCCAACAAAATACTATTAAAAAGTTCCTTTAATGGCTCTATCATTTCTTCAAATAACATTTTATAATAAATTGCCGTTAATCCATCTGTACCCGGTGCCTTCCCCGCTTTTAACTGCTTAATTGCAAAAATAATCTTCTCCGAAGTAATTAAACAATTCATCTCATTTTGTTGTTCATTTGAAAGTCTAGGAAAATGTATTGATTGTAAGTATTTATCTATATCTAAAACTTGTATGTTTTCACTAGCATATAACTTTGCATAAAAATCTAAAAAACTCTTTTTAATCAAGTTCTGTTGATAAACCTCTTTGCCTTTATAATTTACTTTCTCTATAATCTTTGCCTTCTGTTTCTTTCGTAATTGATAAGCCAACCACCTACCAGGCTTATTTGCATTACAAAATGTATTATATTTCATATAGCGCAAATTATTTGCTATCTGATCTACCATTAACATATTAAATTGCGCCCTAAGCATATTTATAGAAGCCTTTAACCTATCGTCCAATGGGTTCAAAATAAGAGCCTTTTCTTTTAATTTAATCTCTTCTTCTAATTCTTTACATTTTTGCATCTGTTTACGCCTATGTGCACTATTCATATGAATCAAAACTCCTCTCATATAAGCTTTGCTAGCATCCCAGACTATTGGCATTGAAGTGCCCTTATGCATATTTAAGATAAAAAATTCCCTCAAATTTTCTTTACATTTCTGCAATAGCCCCTCATATTGAAATAAGTTTTCATTCAGTCTCCAGGGCCTTCTATTCCCATCTTCCACAAATAACTCCAACCATACAGGACTATGATCAGACATTATTCTAGGAAAAAAAATTTACATTCTTGATCCTAGAAAAAAGATCAGAAGTAATTTTAAAAAAATCAATTCTAGAAAATGATTGATGTCTGTCCGATAAAAAGTAAAATCCTTGTCATCTGTATTCCGTTCTCGCCAAATGTCACTAAGTTCCAAATCATCTTTCATATAAAAAAAAACTTTAGGTAATTTAGCATGATTAAAAGTTTTAAAAGAACCCTTCTTATCCTTCCTTGAGTCCAAAACACCATTCCAGTCTCCCATCAAGATAACAGATTTATAACCCAATTGAATTAATTTCTGATGTAACAGCTTATAAAATCATTTTTGTTGTTGATTAGGCGCATATAATCCAATCCTTGTAATACTAAATCAATAATAACATATCTTCCTTGTATATCAGAATCAATTAATTTAGCCGATAAGTCCTTTCTCACATAAATTATTATTCCCCCTTTTTTTCCTGAAGCAGAAGCTATAAAATGCGATCCCAAACAAGGATTTATCAAATACTTCAAGTCCTTCGAAGCTATATGAGTTTCCTGAAAGCAAAAATGTCATTTTTATGTTGTTTCAAATAGTGAAATACTTTTTTTTCTTTTCTGTGGTGAATTCAGGCCATTAACATTCCATGTCAGAATCTTTGCCATTCTTACTGGCCTGAAGCCTCTGAAACAAGACTTGGAGATCAACTGTTGAAGATCTCTTTGGTCTTGCCCCTCCCACAGGCTCTGTAACCAAACCTTCTGTTATTCCCATGCCAACCTTCTGCTTCTGTTCCTTTTCTTTACGTCTATGTGCAGCACGAGTCATCCTTTGTTCCTTTGGATCATCTTTTACCTCCAAAATCTGTTCAATAGGTTCAATCTGTAAGTCTCCAGCAGCCAATTAGGTTGCACCTTCAAATAATTGTTCTTCTGTCCTCCCTTCTGTTTTCTTAATTTGTAGAGATGGGGGAGAACCTGGTTTTAAAACTGAAGTATAGAAATCTTTTGCTTTTAAAATTGTGTTAAGTCTATAGCATGTTCCAGCATAATTCACCACTATTCCAACAGGTATTTCCCATCTAAACTGAATTTGTTGGTGTTTAAGCTCCTCAGACAAAAAGGCAAAATCCTTTCTTTTTCTAAGAATTTTTGGAGGTATTTCCTTTAAAATTATAACATCTTGGGCAGCAATTTGAAATCTTTGTTTATAAAAAGCCTGAATAATTTCATTGCGAAATGATCTTCTAGAAAAATAAATGACCACATCTCTAGGTAAATTTCTCTGTCTCGCAATCCATGAATTAACCCTAAATATTTTTTTTCAATCTCTCTCAGTATTTCCTCCGGTTCACATCCCAAAATGGGAGCAATATCTTTGGCCACCACTTCTCTCAGATCTTCTTGCAAATTTTCCTTTAATCCTCTTATACGCAGAGCAAATTCCATGTCTCTATATTGTGCCATAATTAATTTATCCTGTGTTGTATCAATCTTATTTTCAATTTTATCAACTTTATTTTCTAATCTTACTGTATTTTCCACAACTTCATCCACTCTGTCATCCAAACGCTCAATTTGTGCTGCAAGCCCTTGAAATGCAAACACTATATCTTCCCTCATCTCTCTGTTTTTGTTCTCTAACAGCTCTGCCATAACAGCCATTTCTGAACTCATTTTAGCATCCAAAAAATCAGCCACTTCATCCTTAATCTCTAACACTGTTTTTTGCAAAGCTTCTTGTAAATCTTTAAGTGTGGATGCCGGTGGTGGGGGAGAAGGTGGAGGTGACCTAGGTTTAGTTTGCGAGGCAGTTTGTGTTACCGGAGAAAAAATTGAAGCTTTAGGAATGGTAGAGATTTCAAAACACTTTGAAGCCATTTTCTATCAATTTACTATAACAAAAGAGAAGCAAGTCCCGAAAGACAAGAAAAAAAAGGAAAAAGAAAGAATTCTTGCTGTTTAAATAAGTAATCAAAGTCTGTTACAGTTTCTAAGCTCAATTGTTGTCATAAGTTGAGGACCACCTGTATTGAAATGGTAGAGCTCTCCTATAATCTTTCAATGAAAACTAGACTTTTGAAAGCCATGTAGCCCCTCCATGACTTCTGTGTGAAGAAAATATCTTCAAAAATCCCTAGATATCTAATACTTTTGAAATATAAAAACACATGTAGTAATTGTATCTGCTAGGAACTAGTTATTTCATGCCCACATAGAACTTACCCATGAAAATCCAATGCATCCTATGCCCCCGGATAACATATCAGCCAAAAGAGCCGGGAAAGAGTTGGCAGTAGGAAAATAGGCAAAGAAGTAGGGACTGTGCCAATGAGTCACCTATGGAAAACAATACAAACAAAGATTTATTGGAATGAAAATCTTTTGGTTATGAAAATATCAAAAGGCCATGTATTACACAAGGTCTTGCTTTAACAAGCATGTAAAAAAAGTGCTAATATTGCACAATTGTCAAATCATTAGCTGTGAATCATTTTGTTGTAGCTGCACAGAACCAAGTAGCCAACTATGCCCCCTGGTTTGCATTAAGATTCCTGGCATGAATCTAAATCTGAATCTAAGCTTTTTGACTTTTTTTTTACTGAAGTCAAAGTGAGCTATTCAAATGGAAGCAATTTTGATACTTTTGACAAGTTATGCTCACATGATTTTAAAAAGTGAGGGCTTATCTTTCTCTTTTACTAAAATTAAAAAAAAAATCAGGGATTTAATCTCATCAAGTATCACAGGTGAGTTCATATAACTATTGAGCCAATAAGTTTTAAGAGACATCTCCTTTGATCATTACAGAAGCAGAATATAGCTACAAAAAGCCACTTATATTCCAAGCTGCTGCTAACTTATCATTTTGTTTTATAGAGCTTTAAATTGTACAAATCAATCTATTTCCAAGTTAACTCTACAACAAAAAAATTCCCAGAAAATAACAACAGAGAAGGAGCAGATAAAACAGATAAATGGATATAGAATTGAGAATAGAGACTTAAAGATGAAACTTAATAAAACAAGGAAAAATGATTTAATCCTAGTAGAAAAAAATTCACAAGAATTGGAAAAAAACAACTTATCCCTTAAGACTACAAAATAAATCTGAGGACAAGAAAACAGATCGGATAAAATGGACTGTAGAGATGTGAGGAATATTGGAAAGAAAGGAAATGATAAGAGAAGTGGAAAGAAAGAAAAAGAAAAAGATTTCCAACAAACATGGAAAGGCAGAAGTCCTGTACAAAGACACTTCTCCTGGTTTACTTTTTATATCTACAGCAACATTTACGAACATTCAGAAAAATCTTTTGATTCAGCAAAATACATTAATTAAGAAAGACACTGGGCAATAGAAAAAGTCTAAAGTGGAAACTAAGAAAATAGATGATGGGACTAACCAGAGAGAATACTTAAAAAAGAAACATTTGTTTGAATATGGTTAAAGAAATAGAAAAGTTTTGGAATATATATGTCACTCTAAGAGGGATGAATTCTCTAAATATAATATAGTATGCTTTTTCCCCCTTTTTTGTTCTTTTTCTTGATATGAGTAATATAAAAGTTGAAATCACTTAGATAAAGGAAATGTTTTAGACATTTAAATATGATCAAATTTAAGAAAATTATAATGGATAAAAATGTTTTGAATAAGAGTTAAAGGATTAGATGACTAGATGTATTAAATGGAATGTTTAAAGATTAAACATATTTTTAATTATTGTTAAAAAGAATAAGAAATTTAGGAAATAAATACATATTAGCTTAGGAGGGATACATATTTTAAGTAGTATGTTATTTTAAGTAGTATGTTATTTTTTACGTTTCTTTACTCTTGCTTTTCTTTCTTTTTTTCTACTGTTTTATCTATTTCTTAAGAAATGTAAAAGTGCGAGATGGTTCATATGGAAAAATAGAGTTAAATTTTTAAATGTAATTAATTTTTGAGAAAATCTTAACCAGTAAGAATATTTAGAAACAAATTAAAATAAAGACTGTAACAGGATCTATGATAAGACAACCAGAATGACTGGATAGAAAAGAAATATTATATTGATGTGATTATTATTTTTAGGACTATTGGGAAAAATTATATATTTAACTGTTATCTATCAAAACAATAAGAATTGTATTAATTCAATGTTTGCAAAAGAGGATAGATTAATAGAATAGATCTAACATTAAGACATATGGCACTTTTTGGTCTAATATGGGAGCAGGACTTGGAGAGCTCAGATAGAACAGAGACAATGCAGTTAACTGGCACTTCTCTGGAGTAAGAATGCCTTATAAGAAGATAGAATATTACTGGAACATAAGGCTTTATTTTTAAAGGTGGACCAGAGGGGTCATTAAGGTTCAGGATGAAATGGAAATTTTAAAATACTGTCGATGTCAGAATCCAATTATATTTCATTTCTAGTTAACTACTATGGAAAACCCCATTTTTGCTCTCTCTGGATTCTGTAATACTATGAAGGGGAAGGGGGATGAGCAAAGGGGTTTTATGGCTCTCACTTCCTTCATTAAACTTCAAAGGGATTGAATGTGGATTCTCACCAAGAGGACTGACCATAACAATATGGCCATAACTTTTCATCTACTTCTGTCTGAAGTCTCCCTTTTGCTGGCAGTAAGGTAAAAGGGGGGAACAATGCAGCATCTGGAGTCTGGGAAAAGAGAGGAGGAGGATCATTGCCCGGAAGAACTGGAGGGTGGGGGGCTGTTTGAAAACACTTAAAACATTGAAGGGTGGGAGAGAATTCTTCAGATCCTGTCTAGCACGCCTACAATCATTTTCTCTTAATAAATATGCCTTTTGGAAAAGATATTCCAAGAGTTCTGTATTCTTAAGATGTAAAGTGAGGTGGGTCCTTACATCAATTGTAACTTTCAGAGGTTGTCTTACAATGATGGGATGAACTGACTTTGAAAATTGCTATTCCATTTGTGGTTTTTTTAAAAAGGGGGGGATGGGGAGGACAGGACAAAGAAAATTTTGCAACCTCCCATATCCAAATACAATACATTCATGTAAAATATGCATACCACACTAAGAGAATTCTAGAGCCCTAGTTAAATTCAATCTCATTTTATGATTAAAAAGAAGCTTTTTGTCCCTCTTAGCACTAAAGCTATTATGCAAGTAACATTGTGTCATTGGTATGTGGGGACTAATGACATAACAATGAATCTGAAAATAATAGTAAGAGTCATGGTTCCGATGATAAGACCAACAAAATCAGAACTTATTGGTTACAAAATATTGGCATGGTCAAAAGTGAAACCAAATCTGAAATTCCCTCCAAAAAGTTACACTATTACAAAGTTAAACTTCCCAGTGCTATGCAATTGGCTACATTCTCCAACAGAATAATTTGGCGGGCTTTCTAGTAAAACACCCAACCCTCCTAAACTAACTGATAGAATGACCTTGGTTCCCATGGGACCCAGAATAGTTTAGACTAGCAAAAATACTCTGTACCCCCTCCCTTTCTTGTGGCAACCTAGATTGAGCAAGATGGCTTCAGCCAGTTTTGTTGTAGAGTTGTCAGTTGGACCCCCTAAAGAGAGAGCAATTCCTGTAGAGGAAACAAAAGTACAGATTAGGAATCCTCCCTGGGCTTCTGAGGATGCTTGTCATAGAACATTTATATTAATCTGTCTGCCTTCACATCAGTATGTTTCACCCAGATAGCTTCAGACAAGGAGTATTCTTTCCAATGCACTAAATATTGTAATTTTCCCTTATGTAATCTAGAGTCAAGGATGCATTTTATCTCATAGTGAATTTCTCCCTGTACTAAAATGGGACCAGATGGTTTCTTAGGGATTGGCCTCAAGGATGACTCTGTGACTGCTTTTAACAAGCTGCAATAGAAAATGGAGTGAACTTTCCCTAACAGTTGAGGGAGTTTTAACTGAATTCTGACAGGATTTATAATTCTGACAATAGGGAAAGGACCAAGAAACTTAGGTCCCAGTTTGGTCATTTTAATCTTAGATATTTAGGGGAGAGGTAAACCTTCTCCCCCACATGAAATGGCTTCAGGGGAGATCACTTCTTATTGGCTTGTTCTTTATACGTCTTAGCAGCTTGGACTAAAGCTTTTTTTTACATTTGCCCAAATATTTTGCAGAGATGTCACCCATTGATCTAGAGTCTGCAAAGTGGGAGGCTCCTAGGGATATTTGGGCATAGGAAGAAACTCCCAACCAGGGCTATCTTGAACAGAGTAAGCCCAGTGCTACTGTGGACTGTATTATTATATGCTACTTCAGCAAAAGGCAATTAGTCTGTTGATAGTTAACATAGCATCTGAGGTATTGTTCCACCATTGTTCCACATTCAGCCAATCAATTTGTACTCAGATGTAAAGCAGATGAAAGTCCCTGGGTGGACCCAATCAGTTTTATAAACTCCCTCCAGAATTTTGCAGTAAATTGAACTCCCCTGTCTGATATAATCCATTTTGGAGCTCCGTGGAATCGATAGATGTGTTTCAAAAATAACCTGGCCAGTTTCTGGGCAGACAGAAGTCCCGAACAAGTGATGAAATGGGCTTGTTTCGAAAAGAGGTCAATGACAATCCAGATTATTATGCTTTCCTTACTTTCAGGCAATTCGACAATAAAGCCTATGGCTATCTCCTCCCAGGGTTGGGAAGGATCTTTCACCTGCTGTAATAGACCAGGTTTACCAGAGTATTTTTTCATTGCTCCACAGGTGGCACAGATTTTTATATAATGTTCAATGTCTTTTTTCATTCCTGGCCACTAAAACAGCTGCCGCACAAAATGTAAAATTTTTAGAAAATCAAAATGACCCTCTTGCTTTGCATTATGATTTCATTGAAAGGCTTGAATTTTGAGGGACATCGGAAGGTACAGTTTAGGCTCAGTTTGTGTGCTTTGGTTATTGGAATATTTTAGTATGTTTCACAAAGGCTAGCAATGAGTTCAAAGTGTTGACTTCATAGGTTTAATCCCTTTAAACAAATGCAATTAGTTTTACCCCCTTATCTTGAGTCTGTTTATGGCTCTTAGCAAGTTTTCTTTGTAGGTAGACAGGCTTAATTTAAGGTTATCACTTTTTGCAACTGCCAGGGCTGTTTGCTACATTGTTTAAACTGAGACACACCTGAGGCAGCTTAAGAAAAAAAACATAGTCAGTGTTCCTTTATTCTGGGAGGCTTTTGTGAGCCTTTCTTGCTTTGCGCTTGATTCCTGTGCCTTTAAGGGTACAGGGAAGGGACGGGTGTGTGCATTCTTACTATACTATGGAAGGAGAGCTCAGAAGGCAGGGAGGAAGCAGACGAGAGGGAGAGAGGAAG